GCTCGATAATCATACAATTAATTAGATTCAAAACAATACTTTGAATATATTTATTGGACCTATAGGCCTAACACCTTTCTCTTCTCGGGAGTCATTCGAATAATTAAAAAACTTAAGCTCCGAGATAACATATTATAATCACACAAGAAATAAAATTAAAACGCTCGCAAATAACACATAAAAAGCAACTACAGGAAATTAAGAAAATTCATGTGAGACAACAATATACACCTAGTTTAATTTACAATTCGTAGAAGTGTACTGAACTTCTAAACCCAACACTTTTTCTTCATGATAATCACACAAATTTGCTAGAAACTCCACACTCAGAGGTCCAGTTTAATTTACACTTTACATAAACGTAACAATCTGCCAAACCCAACTGTTTGTTCTTATCGATAATCATATGAATAAATAATAATTAAATTAAAATCTATTAAAGGATTTGTCTTGAAACACCGAAACAAAGGCACAAAAATATAAATTCCGATAGCATACACACGTACACAAAATAAACTTAATTGTTCGAAAAAAACACTTATAACAGGTCCGAGTAATTAAAAAAAACCAGTGGAGACGACGATGACATAGAAGCCAGTCCATGCCAGACGCCTCATCACTGGATAATGCGGCGGTCGAGGCTACCACGACTGCATTGGAGTAGATTCAAAATATTAACAAAACAAAAGCATAAATATGAAATATGTACCAAAAGAAATAGTTAATCACGAAAAAAACAAACTCACAACTCTTAAAACTCGCGGACATAATCATCGAGAGGGTTAAATATGAACTGGAAACTTGGATAATGGGACCGCAAGACAACATCCTTAGAGTTTGGACCTGTACAAAAAAATATATTAAATAGACTCTTGAAACAAAGAAAACCAATCAACACTCATTAGGCTTAATTAGAAACTGAAAACAAAATAGATCATTTTTTTTTTACTTATTACACATAATAATATACCTACCTTTGCCATCGCATACCATCCAGAACCTGAGAACACATACTATCGATTCAGCATCATTTTGCTCATACACACGAACAAAGTGCCTAGCAATAACTTCTCTCGCAATACACGCAATGACACCATCATTCCTATGACAACGACATCAACTAAACAAAAATATTTTATTCAAAAATAATTTACAAACTACTAACCTCGCATCGCAGAGTTCAAAACGAACGTGACACAAATCCTCCTCGTAAGCATCACTGTTATTGTGCTGCAGAGTTCCCATCCTTAAAACCGTTCCCATTACATCTATGAAAAAACATATTTCAGACACATACAATCACGGTAACCAAGTATGAAACAATTCAAAAAAATTCAAAAAAAAAATTACCGATTAAAGATCAAGGTTCAAACTCTATAGTACGAATATCGAAAATTCGCCGACAGAGAAGAAATAGTCCAGGAGGTCCATCATCAAATCTCCTAACCCTTGTTAAACGACCGAACTCGATCTTTTGACAGTAGTCGGACAAAATCACAGATCCAATCTCGTGTTTAACTTCGAAATTACAGAACTCATACCAAAACCCTTCCTTGAAGTAGTTTTCATAAATAAGCAATTCACCGGGCAATATAGTCACCGAGATTTGTGTTCGCTAACCAAAAATAGAAATCAAAATCTAAATAAGCCACAAATTCTGGAAAAATTTTCACATGCAAAGAGAAAAGAGTAACCTAATCCATTTATTATTTTCTTAAAATTTACCTGAGTATCGGTGACTATTAGCTCCAATGTACGACCGAAGAAATTGACCTGCCTCCAAATTCGAAGAACCTTCACACGAACAAACCGCTCAATGAAACCCTTTAGTTGAACAGAACGCCGAAGCAAAGATCAAAAGGTACTTCCTGTAGTTTATTTATGGGTCTTCTCGAACGGCAAAGAAATGAAGGTTATGCGGCCTAAAGAACCCTAAAAGGCGATATATGGCAGCAAATGATCAACTTTGGGGAAAAATATTCTTTTAAAAATCACTGACATCCGTTCGCTTTCTAATTATTTGTCCATATCGAACTCGTTGTAAACCATATTGGGCGCAAGTAAATAAATAGTTAATTAATTTGACCCATACGAATCCAACCAAAGTAAATAAACATCGAATATAAAAAGACACGACAATAATCTATACTATCACTATCCAAATATTTTTAGAGAGTATAAACGACAACGACTTTAATATCTTAGCATAGTCCAAGATATCCAATATCGAACAGCATGATATCCTTTACAATTCTAATCTACAAAAACTTAAAATAAATTAATATAGAAAATTTTGGATGGATAAAAAAGTAGACTGCAGGATATATCCCACTTCATTTTTTTTTACTTAGAAGATGTCAAGAATATACAACTATTATACGTATATACATCAATATGCATATAAACAACCCGTCTTATATAGTTTCGTTCAAGATACCACATACCAACAAATTTCAATTAGTACGCTAAGCTCCTATTTTTAGACATCTTAAAAAAAAGAAAAAATAAAAAAAAGAAGAAAATATAATAGAAATATCATTGAACAACCAAATAGAATAAAAAATAATTTATTAAGAGAACACATCACTATTACAAATCATAGACGACCTAAATATAAATCATAGATAATATAATACAATAAAATTATACTAATCTCGACGGAATATCAATGAAAGTGTTTCTCTTCAAGGCATATACGATCAAGCAAATACACTCAAGATTCTGAAAATTTCTATCTTTGATGATCCCAATACGTCCTCTACACTCCAAACTCAACATTGGACAAATCATTAAGTACACCATTGCGAGAACCCTATCACACATTAAACATTACAATTAAAAAAAATCGTGAGATATAAATATAGAAAAACGTCAAATACAATTTGACCTTATTAAGAGAATATAAACATCACAAAAGAGGCCATACACAATTTCTGAAACATTAAGTCAATAGAAAAACCATAACGGCACAAACCTCTCGAGTAGAATGTGAATATATCGACAATATATTCAAAAGTGCGATCACGCCACACCCACCAAATCCCCAACTAAAAGTGAACAACCCTTAGTCATCAGAAACAAAACAAAAACTCAAATCAATATCACAAAATACTTAGCAAAAATAATCTTATTTATATTCATCAACTAAGACTATATGATATACCAAATCAAACCAAAACGAACACATACTACCTGCATATACATGAAAAGAAACTAAAGAAGCATATACAAATAAAAATATATTATCCATTAAAAAACTACGAAAAATGAAATAACATTTTGATAATACCTCACAAACCCAAAACCGGCATATATCGACGAATATCCAGTCATTATTGAAAAGACAAAAAGTACGAACAAAAATAACATAATACATCTGTATATTTGTTATAAACAGAGAATATACCGTTTAAACCAGATCAACAAATCGAGATGATCAATAAAGCCATACCACCTACATAATACATATGAAGAATTCATTAGATAAGCATATACGAATAAATCCATCAAATAACTATATACATAAGAAAATATTAACCAAATATAAAATCAAAAACATGATCAGCTGCAAAACTACAAAGAAGGAAACAATATCTTGTAGAGTTTAATAAAGGATCTTCACGTAGTCGAAACGCAGTCAGCGCCGAAAATCTAACAGTCAACAAAATAAAAAAGGTTAAACAAAAATCAACAAAAGAACGTAATTCATCTATATGATATATGTAGAGAGCATACCATCTAAGCAGGGCAGTACTTCAAGAAGGTCAACAAAGCCATCAACTGCATGCATATAAAAAAATTCATTAGATACGCGTATGAAAATTTTCAGCAAAATACAAAATCCAACAAACACTAAGAACAAATAAACAAATCGATAATTTTTGTTAATCCTAGAATACTGAACTATATATATATAGTAGATTAGGGTTACACGACAACCACTCATACGTTATGGGCCACAACCCGAATTAAAAGAATAATTTTAAGGTTTTAGAAAGTATACGAAATTACCTAGATTTTATTAAGATTCGCATAGGATCATGGTAACTATATTAATGTTATTCCCAATTTGATAACCATAAAATCATTAAAACAACGAATAATCCATTTTGATTATTTCATAGCTTATTTAGAAATTAAAAAATGTTAGAAATATTTAAATATTAAATTCGAGATATACACAAAATCAGCAAAAAATAATATTGAAAATCTCCAAAAATATTAGAATAGATTAGCGATTTCTTTATTACAGTAAAACCTCTATAAATTAATAATGTTGAGACTCTAAGATTTTATTAATTTATAGAGTTATTAATTAATATATAAATTAATAATTATTAATTTATAGAGATATTTTTCGGTTCAAATTGTTAATGTTCATCGAAAACCAAAAAAAAAATTTCAACAATGTAAAATTCATTCAGAAAATGTCATAATAATGAATTTAGAACATAAATCAAACAAAACTTATAAACTTGAAAGAACAATATTATCATATTTTACTATATTATATTATTTATATATGCCTACATGTATAATTATTAATTTATATTATTATTGGGACTATATTTTTACATAAAACTTTCAAAAAAAATATTATCTTATTATCTTATCAAATTTTATCAATTTTTATACTAGCCCAACTTGAGACCGACAAAAACTATTAATTTATAGTAATAATTAATTTATGGAGTATTAATTTATAGAAGCTACACTGTAATAGCATTTAGGTAATGTTTAGTGAGATTGAAGGAGAGAGTTATATTCCTCGAAATCATTGAACGGTTTAGATTTCGGTTTTAGCTTATTAAATCGTGTTTGTTACCAAATTAAATTATGGGCTGTAAGTCCAACTTTGAAAATTCAACGGCCCATTATAAACGAAATATTTCGGCGAAACTATACCAATCTTCAATCAAATCACTTGAAATTTTTTGAATTTCGTGGATTAACCGCGAGGCGAGGGAAATTTCAAGCTTTATTAGGCACATAATCTCATCGAACAACGCGCCAATTAAAACACTCTTCCTCTTCCGCTCAAAATCCCTAATTCTTTTGTCATGGACTCAATTGAGGCACCGTCGTTTTCGCTAGGGTTTGATCTTGATGCTCCATCAGATCCCAATTCGGGATTGATCGGAGACGACGAGCTAGAACCGGAAATTACGGTCGCAGATTCCGATCTGGAGCTTGACGCAGGTTCTTCAAGCCCAGTTCTCAAGAGGTTGCGACGGGGAATCAATGATCACACCAAGTGTTCTGCGAAAGATAATACCAATGAGTTGTTAGGTTTCAATGTTGATCGCGACGATGACGACGACATCGAGGAGTTCTCTTCTCCGGAGGGTAATTAACATTTTTTGAGCTTTGATTTCTCTTTTCCCTGTTATTTATTATTTTTGAAATGGGTCTTGCTGAAATTGCTGAAATTGAATCTCGAGCACTGTCACGTCTCTGATAAAGCAATTAGCATTTTTTCACTATTTGGGTTTATGTTCGAATTTTCATTTAATTGCCTTGGGAAATTTTAGGCTTCTTGGATCGGAGGTACATTGATATTGAAAGACTATTTCATAAAAGCTGATGAATTTAGGAAGCTGATGCAAAGTTTCAAACCTTACTGTCTCCTTAGCTATTTGAAATCAGGTTGATGTGATGATTATGTGTGCTTGATGATATAATATGTTATGTGATAATGATGCATGATGAATGTGATATAGGAATAGTATAAGTTGATACATGATGATGATATGATATGTTATGGCTCAAAGATGAGAACTTGATGATTCAATTTGTTATATGCTGATAAATCAAGGTTGTTTCTTTTGTGGATGAAAGCTTAAACAAAAATGCTCTCGAGTCCTTGTAATAATTTTGTTGGTTTCATCTTGCTTTATTAACTTGTGTTGCTATATGCAGATGCACCTGCATCAACAAGAAGTCATTTTTCTAGTTGCAGCTCGAGAGCCTCACTTCGTGGTTCTGGTGTTTTTACTAACCAGCCTTCTTCTATCTCTCGGGGAAAAAGAAAGCGGTTGGATCATGTTCCACCTTCTACTGGCTCTGGGATTACTTCTGTTGAACCATTGTTTCAAAGCTCAACTCGTAGTCCCTTACGAAGGTTTCAGCTACTTGATTCAGATTCAGAAGATGAACACCCATCCACTCGCAGCAGCGGTTTAAGCCGAGCAACTAAAACAAACGATTCGTCATCGAAGAGAAAGGAACCTGGATCTATGCCATGTACTGGTGATCTGTTGAAAGATTTTCCCCCTGTGACAATTTCCAAGACTCAAACACCAGCTCAACGAAGGTTCCAGCTTCTAGATTCAGATCCTGAAGATGATCACCCATCTTCCAGCAGAGGTTTAAGCCGAGTAACTAAAACAAATGATTCATCCTCCAAGAGAAACGAACCTGAATCTATGCCATGTACTGGTGATATCTGGAATGAGTTTTCCCCGGCAGTTTCCAATACTCAAACACCAGCTCTAAAGCGATTCCAGCTACTTGCTTCAGATTCTGAAGATGACCACCCATCAACTAGCGGAAGAGATGTAAGCCGAGTAACTCAACCAAAGGATCAACCATCTGTTGCGAGTAAACCAAAGAGAAAGGAATCTGAAGATTTGTGGAAATATTTTTCCCCGGTGGCTGTTTCCAAGATTCAGACACCAGCTTTGGATGATGTTTGTCAGGACTATTTTAGCTCGATGAAGACGAGTACTAGTAGCAGCACAGCTCAGAAACAAAGCAGTGATGTTGCAAGTAGTAGCAATAGTGGGTTGTTTCAGCAAACTGGGCAGTTCTTGGATCTCTCCCAGCCTTCTCCTCCATCTCATCGTTTCTTCTTGCACAGTGATCCAAGGATCCAGAGTTTAGCTCGAAAGCGGTTACCATACTTCTTTCCTCTGGGAATTTTCAATGATAGAGAGAGCCGGCGAGAGGAGTGCCGTATTGATTATATGTGGGTTATACTCTTAAACCCTTCTTATTATAGTTACTTACAATCTTCTGTTTCCAGGGCATTGACATATGTCTCCAATGCCATTGCAGGAACCAATTTGGCAGCAAAGAGAGTTCTAAAACCATAGACTCTAGCAGCAAAAGCTGCAGAAGAGGGCAACCAAAGTCAAAAGGGCAAGAGAGTACCAAAGCAAGATCCGCAGTTCCAAGGGATGTTGGCAAAATACGTGTATCAGCTAATAGTGGTTCTGCAGGTCATTGGTTCACATCCTCAGAAGGAAGAAAGGTCTGTTTCTCTTTCCATTTACATAGAAATGTGACTGTGATTAAGACAAACCGAACACACGTTTTTTAAGCATAAGAACTATCTGTTACATAACACACAGAGTGAAGGGACGCCTGAAACTTTGTTGTCTCTGATTTTTCTTTCTTGCTCTTGTAGGTTTATATCTCTAAAAGCGGACAAGAGTTCTCAGGTCAAAGTGCATATAGATGTTTCAAAAAGGTCAGCATCTATTGAATGAAGTTGGTTTTGGTAATATCTGATAATGTGAACTAAACTTATATCACTGTACTGTACCATAGGAGACCGGAGGCGGATTTAAAAAGTCCAAAAAGAAAAGACAGCCAAAGAAGAAGGCCAAGAATTGAATAATGGAAGCCATTGTGTTACTTCTAGGTACTTAGGTAGGATACCACAAACTCGATCCCTCTTTCATAAAGGACCTTACACATATCTATATTGTCTTAGTTTTAACATTTATGCATCCAACAAAAATTCACTAGTTTCGGTAGGAACAAAACCGATGGGTTTCTTCTCGAATATCTTTAGCTGTTTCCCAAAGGACCTCTCTGGATCTTGAGATTATGTCTGCAACAGTCGTCTTTTGTGTTATACGAAGCTTCAACAGCTCCACAATTCAAAAGGGGTTTAATGGCATCTACTTGAAGCTTTTTCTCCAACTGTTTTGTAATCGTTTTGAGTATGTTTCTATCCTGTGAATATCTTGGATTTGTTTGTACATTAATTATATAAACGGATCGTGTTTTGTTACATTGCATCCGTTATTAACCAATTATGACCATGTCGCAATACGCTTGTGTAGTTTTATATACAGTAACCCTAAGCAGAACAAGTACATTGAAATTTTAATCACAACAACATGACTGTACAAGTTAACATAACTTTCTTGTCAAAAATCATATTTCGTAAATTTTCTGATAAAAACTGAATGAGTAACTTTCCTATAAAAAAATTACTTCAAAATATGATTCCAAAATTTTTTTGTCAAAAATTCAATTTTGTGAATATTCCGCCAAAAAATCAATCCATAAGAAAAATTTGGTCGCATAAAATCAGTAGTAATATTTCAAAGCATAAAACTCACAAAATTCATGAACTCAATAATATATCAAGTTATTGAATGATATAGGAATCCGGAGTGAGTATAAGCAATATAATATATCAAGGCATAAAATCAGCAACAAAAAATTGTGGTGAAGTAGATTGTGAAAAGTCGATACAATGATTTTAAGAATTAGTACGGTATTAGTGTGAAACGCATTCAACAAAGATTTGCTAAAGAAAGCTAACATCCCGATTTAAAGAATATGAATGTATATGTGAAAAGATTTTAAAAGAATCAATTTGATAATTTATGTCACCAAACTGCATTTATCTTTTAGGTCACTAATTTCGAGAGAATTTCAAAGTTAAACGTTCTTAAATTAGAGTATGATTAAGATGGATGACTTATTGAAATGTGATTTCCAGTATCTAGTAATTGAGGATAAAACACATGAAAAGATCAATTCTAGGATTAACTTTCGAGTTTCCCGACTGTTATATACACAATCTTCATGTGTCAATGTACTTGGAGATACTCTTGGTTTGATCAAACCTCAAACCTGCTTCTGTTTGATTCATTTCAATGAAGATCGCACAGCAACCAAAATTCATTTTCAATTGTTTAATTGATTATGATTTTTTATGAATATAGATTAGGTGAATAAGTTCACATGTGCTCCAGAAAGAGTACTTTTGTGCAAATGTTGCTATGAATTGCATAAAAGTCTTTTTGGTAAACTAAAACTGATGAGAGTTGTACCTAACAAAAAAATTCTTAACACCATATTTAGCTATTACCAGTGATACTACCATGTGTAGGTACGTCGTTGGTTTCTCATGAATATGCATTAAAAGTCGCTCAATTTCCACATACAGCGGCTCTAAGCAGAACAATGACATTGAAATTTTAATTACAACATGGACTATACACACCAGTCTCAAATAATATATAACTTCTACAGATTTTGTTGCATGTTTTTACAATGGAAAATCCATGATGGTTTCATGTACAGTTTTAAGCCAAAGAATGTCCAGAAGCGCGACGAATCTCATCAACATTAGCAGTGGGAACGTAAACTGCATCCACTAGCGAGCTGTGTCTTCGCCCGTAGAACAAGTAAACAAGCACTCCGATGAACAGCCACACCGATACACGAGCCCATGTCGCAGCTCTAAAACATTAGCAAGGAAAAGAAATGTTACATTTACAGTAAACTCATCGGTTAGTATTTTATAAATCTGTTGTCATGATCCATACTCACCCAAGGTTTACCAAGAGATACATGTTTATAAGAATGCAGAGAATAGGTAGAAGCGGAACAAACGGGCAAATGAAACCTGTAAAAACGAAAGATTTTATGTCACACAATACAAAATGAAGTGTTTATAACAAAACATTAGGCTGGTTTTCTGGGAAAATCAAGGAAATTAGTACCTCCTGAATGACCAAAGCTGTGTCTAGCATCATCTTGATCTATGCAACTCAGAACAATCAAACCGACAAGAAGGAGCAATCCACCAACACCACATAGAGAATATCGGAGGAGTCTGTTAATAGATTGGACAAAAAATGTAACTTAGTATTCAAGAAAGAAACCAACTCTGGAAACCTAATAAAAGACATAGCCTCAGGTACATAAACTATCGATGAACTAACCCTGTAAAGCGCAAGCTTGACGCTGCATAGCTTAAAAGGAAGTTCCCAATATAAGTGAACATAATGCTCCAACCAGCTAATTTCCTCCTGTTTTCGTTATCGAGAACCCCTACAAAATCAAGAAAACATGTGAAAAAACTTAGTTATGCAAAGACAGGAGATGGTTCATGCACCACTGAGAGTAAATCCTAACTTAAGGTTGTCTACAAGAATTGAAAAGTAACTTAAAACCTCCTTGAGCTTCTTGCTTCTCCTCACTTGAATCATCAGGTTCGCAAAGTAAAGGTTGTTTGCGACTAATGGAAGTGCCGACATGACTGGATGAGTTTTCATCACCACATATAAAGGGAACAGAACAAATCCTCCCTCGAAGAGATGAAGGAAAAGGTACCTGATAAAAGCCTTGTTCTCTTTAACTAAATCCTTTCTATAAAGTTGTTCTTTGGTGAAAATGAATAGAAAAAATATGTTTATTGGTTCCAATCTTAGATGTACCTCATCTGGAGGAACATATCTGAGAATCAACACTGATACTGCAACCATTGTAAACGCAACAAGTGTCCCAACACTCACCTACACGAATTAAACCTAGTCAAATACTAGTTACAGGCTAAAAAAGGTGCATTATGTACAAGACAGTGAATCGTAATGCGTCTTAATTACCATTCCGGCTAGTTGTGAAACATCCATAAAGAAAGCTAAGATTGCTGCACAAAAACCAGTTGCTATGGTCCCTTTAACAGGAACCTGCGTGCGTTGATTCACGTCTGAGAAAAATGAAGGCAACAGACCATCCCTAGCCATTGCCATCAGAATCCTCGGCTGAGAAATGAAGAAAGCACTAATTTAACACAAACATCTATGTTGTTGTTAGATCCTTAATTCTAAAGATCTAACACTTGAATTATGTTTCAAGTTTACCTGAGGGAGAATAGAGCCCATTAAAGCAGAACAGAGAGCCATGACAGCACCTAGAGTTATTATATATCTACAAAACAAGGGAAAACAAACTAAAAATCAAACTCTTAAACAAGTCCTGTGAATAAACAGTATTGCATCTTAACGGATTCCTGGACTTACGCAGCCCATTGAACTCCATGAGTAGCAAACGCAGAGGATATTGGTGTGTCAGGGTCCATAGCATAATAAGGCACTAAACCAACAATAACAACAGACACCATCATGTACAGCAAACAACAAAGCAGGAGGGAAAGACCAATTCCAAGCGGTAAATCTCGCTGTGGATTCTTCACCTGCATATGAAATAGCAATGTAGTAAGTATATACTATATACTATTTGCTTAAAAGCCTTTAAAAGATGATACTGCAACAGTGTATGATACTAACCTCCTCTGCCATACTTGCAACTGAATCAAACCCAATGTAGGCAAAGAAGACAGTAGCAGATCCAGCAAGCATTCCATCAACACCGAAAGGAAAATACCTGAGAAACAAGACCAATATGTTTCATGTAGCATCAACCTTAAGATTGATGGTGAAGCAGAATAGTTAATGCTGAATTTTACCCTGATGGAAGTTCATAACCAGTCCAACCTGTCTTGAAACACAGGTAAGTACCAGCTATTATGACGAATATCATGACAAAGACGTTTATTGTTGTCACAATCCCCTGGGCAAATGTGCTCTGCATAGAAGAGATCTCTCACTTTAAAAACATGGTTGCATGGATTTGAGTTTGTCCAAACGAAGTGAATGATGGCGTTTTAAGTTTATACCTCCTTCACTCCAATGCACAAGAGTCCTGTTACAATGAAGACTAGTACAGCAGCACATGGGTCAACAACAATATCTAGGCCTGGGATTTGATGACGAGCTAATATTGTAGGCAGGCAATCTTCACCACCAAATATCAATGCCTGTCACATAAGATATGATAATGAGCTGAGATTATTCATAATATAGAATGCCATTTCATGATAAACGAAGCAATTTCCTAAGCTAAATTGATGAACACAAAGATATTCAAAAAGGTTTTCAGAAAGAAAACGTAACTTATGTGGTTTAATCTCTAAGTGTTACTCCAAAATTTCACAAAAGTTCTGATAAATAAGGTCGTTGGCTTAAAATTCCTAGCTCAAACAACACAAGAACGCAAAGATAATGCTATTTACGCAACTTTATGTTCCATATTCCTACCATGTAATAAGTCACTGGCTCAAGATTCCTATCTCAAATAAAACATAACAACTCTTCAAGAAACAAAATTATGAATGGTAACCAAACCAATGCAAGCAAGAGAAGATCTTAGTGAAATGGTAACAAACCAGATTTGGAGATATTCCACGAGCAACCGTTGAACCACCAATTGTGTATTCCAGAATCAGTGCCCAGCCAATCAACCACGCAACACTGCAAGAACCCAAAATCCATATAGCAAAGGCAATGAGTAAAACATCAAAAGCTCCAAATAACTAAATGAGCAAGTGATAAGTTACCCTTCACCAATGCAAATGTAAGAATAGTGATAGGCACTTCCAGCTGAAGGAAAACGACTAGAGAGTTCAGCATAGCAAAACGCGGAAAGTGCGGCGGAAACTCCAGCTATAAGGAAAGATAAGGCGAGAGAGGGTCCTGAATGCTCTCTCGCAACTGTTCCCACAAGAATGTAAACCCCTGCTCCAATTGTTGATCCAACACCTAAACATTGTACAAACCAAACTCTTGAGGGTTAGTGAAAAACATAGCCAAAACATAAACAGACCCATAATTTAGATATTCATTAGTGAAGAGCATCGCCAAAAGATAAACAGACCCATAATTTAGAGATCCATTATTCAGAAGATATCTTATTGTAAATAACTACACAAAACTTCATTCAGAACAAAAAAAGCTTCAATCTTTAAAAAAAACATCTATAAATCCAGATATTCCAGACACAATATCAGATTAACAGAGATATGATAAAAAAAAAAATCATTGACAATTGACTTACAGATATCAGATTCCAAAGAAACTATAACGAAATTAGTATCTTTGAGAAGAAAATTCAGTTGAAGAAAAAGAGAACCGATTGCAATGAAGCTCTCAGGTTTAGTGAAGAACATAGCCAAAACAATAAAAGAAACAGCACATAATTTAAATACCATTATTGAGAAAGAAATCATATTGTAAATCAGGACTAAATTATGTGTAAATTATATAGTAAAGCAGACACAAAACAGAAAAAAAGCTTCAAACTTTATAAATCATCTATAACTCCAGATATTACAGACACAATATCAAATTAACAGGAATAGGATAAGAAGGTCATTGACAACCAGAAAACTGACCTACACATTATCAGATTCCAAAGAAACTATAACGCTTGAGAAGAAAATTCAGCTGAAGAATAGAAAAGTAGCAATCGCAATCAAACTCCGAGGTTTGGTGAAGAACTTAGCCAAACAAGAAAAAAGCCTCAAACTTTAAAAGTCATCTTTTTAGTTTGTCAACTCTTTAAAAGTCATTTATAAATCCAGATAGACACAATATCAGATTAAGAAATTCATTGACAACAACAAAACCGACAAGCAAAGATACCCAGATTCCTAAAACATCATAACGAAATCAGCATCTTGAGAAAAAAAAAAGAGTCCAGATCAAGAAAAAGAAAAGTTACCAACTGCAATCAAGTGAGAAAAGGTCAAGGCTTTGGCGAGTTGAGTCTCGGCTTTGCCATTTGAAGATTCGACTTGTTTCCTTCGCACGAAATTTCTTAAGCAACCCCATGAATGTTCACCACCATCTCCTTCCTTCTGCGTATTCACCATAAAACCCATTATAATCCTAACACAAACAACACTTGGGAAATATTCTTTTTTGAGCAACTACCTTATCTAATTGGCTAAATCAATAGAATCAATTGCTCGACTGCCCTTCCGTCTCAAATCAAGTTCCCAAATGTCCTCTTATTAAAATTGATTTTCATTTCTATTTTTTTTAATTCGGAAAGCTGATGTTTTACAAGTTTGTCCTTTAAAAATTAGAAGTATTACCTACCCAACCAAATTTATATCCACCCGTTTTGAGAAACCACCCAATTAGATTGGATCAAACCCGATTTTATCCAACTAAAAATTAATTAAAAAAAATTCAAATATCACTAAATCAAATAAATTTGAAACGGAACTGATAAATCTGATTTATATTTTGATCTTGGCAAATCGAATTTATGTTTTCATTCTAATTTTAGATTCGTTATAAAAATATAAACAAACAAAATTTGAAAATCTTAAATTTTGATAAATTTTTAAAAAATTTAAACAAAAAATAACACTTGCTAATACTTGATACAATTAAATTAGAATTTATTCTAATTTTAGATTCGTTATAAAAATCTAAACAAACAAAATTTGAAAATCTTAAATTTGGATAATTTCTAAAAAAAATTGAAACAAAAAAATAACACTTACTAATACTTGATACAATTAAATTAGAATCACAAAATTTTAAGAAAAAATGGAATTGTTGCAACCTCTAGCATATTTAGTATCATTATGAACTTCTTAAATTTATATTTGATTAAAACATGTTTAATGTTTAATCATTACAAAAAAAAACTCGATTTGCCTTCTTACTTGATTGTAAATTTGTAATGTACCAAATTTGATGATACCAAATCTTATTACTAAATATATATAGTTATACCAAGTATTTCTAAGTATTACTAAAATGCAAGAACCCAGAAAATCAGAAAATACAAAAATTCAGAAATTCGAAATTATGAATGAACAACAACCCCAAAATCAAGTATAAAATCTGAAATAAACTTGGAATTCGAGTTACATGTAAGTTCGGAAACTCTGTAAAAATCGCTACAATGAAGGTGGAAGAGAAGATAAGAACAAATATACAAACCCTAAAATGAAAATTCAGAAAAAAAAAAGAAAAAATAACATAAATTGAAAATATATATAGATATAATATTATAATAAAAACTAACACTAAAACACATGTGTGCTGTCTTTTTCCACATGTGCGCCGTTTTTTACACACATGTCGCTGTCTGAATTGATACGTGGTAATAAACATGCAATTGCTTTGCACATAGTTATACCTAATAATCCAGTATTACTTGCTTTCAAACAGTGTTACTTTTGATATTTTTTTACTTTTATTTAGTATTACCTTGGCATAATATATATTTTTTTAGTTATACTGATCACGTTAGTCAATTAAAGTACATCCCAAAGTTTGTATGTATTAAGATATCTTAAATCATATTTTTTTGTATGTTTTACATTCTATTGTGGTTAATATTAACAAAGTGACCATAAAAGTATAAGGTTTTAATTAGGTACATATTCTAATAATGATCATATTGCTATAAAAAAAATTTGAACCTAATTGATACATGTTTCTTATATTTAATAGTTACTTATATAACATATCTTTCTTTGTTTCGTGTGATTTAGTTGTTTTCTAATAATATTCTAAATCTTTAAATATTAAATTAAACTTAGTTATACCTAATAATATTTTTATATTCAGTAATACCAGTTTTACCTAGTTATTCTATCTGCAACTTAAATTGAATGATTTCAGATTGATCTGGGATTGTAATTTACTTACAGTTTGCTACGATTCAATAACCACAATCTATTAATTTCCAATCTATGGTCCTAATCGACCCATAAATTATGGTTAGAAATCGGGTGAGCATACTAAAAGAATGATTTTTCAAATTGAATTATAAGTTGTTTATAGAGTCTTTTTGGTATTTTTCAAGTCTTTTCGAGTCTTTGCAGGTCTAGGTACGTTTGGAGCATAATTGTGGATTTTGGAGCCTTTTAGAGCTATGATAAAGCTGATGCTGAAAAGACCAAGTTGGAGGGCATTCTGGAGCAGGGTGTCGATCGACACCAATCGTGGACGCGAAGAAGAGTCTTAAAAACTCGTTGAAAAATTGTAACTTGGCCCAGAAGTTTCCTATTATTTGCAAACTTGCCCCTGTTGTGTTTAGAGATGTATTTAGGTTTTGAGAGCCATTGTGATATATCATAGTTTTTATGGTTTTTAGCCATGATATAAGTCCTTTTTATTGAGTCTTTTTGGTCTTTTTAGATTCCTAGTAGAGTCTTTGCAGTTTATAGCATGTTTGAAGCATAATTGGAGATATTGAAGCATTTTGGAGAATTACAAGTTAAACCCACGAAGTGTCCAGCTCGGAGAAGAAAGTATGCATTTGGGTGATGCTCGTCACCACTTATGGTGTCGCTTGTCACCCATATGGGAAGGGTCATGGCTGGTTTCTAAAAGATTTGGAAGAAATTGCAGTTTTGGTCCAGAAATTCTAGTATTTACAAAAAGGCCCCAGATCGTGTTTTAGCTTGTATATTAGGTTTTTCAGCCATTCTTTTGGCAGATTTATTCTTTTTGAGAGCTTTAGAGAGAGATTTGTAGGAGAGCTTTTGGAGAGACAAATCAGACTCCTTCAGAGCAGATTTCAAACTCCTTTATTTCTATTCCTTATTTCTTTTATGCAATATATTCTTTTGATGTTTGTTTTATTCACCATGTCTGAGTAGTTTGTTAGTTAAGTTAGGGCTTTTCAAAGGTTAAAGAAGAGTTTGTAGAATTGCTAAACTATTAGGAAAACCCTTTGGTTCTTCATCTGTGCGTGCATTCATATCGATTTCTTAGACACATCATCAGGATTTCGAAACCCTAGGTTGTTTGATAGATGTGAGAGCATTATTAATCACCTGAACTAGTATTAGATGAGCAAAACGTCCTAGTGCAAAGAGATTTGACTTAGGAGTTTTGTGAACAATTGAACCTGATCATTACTGCATGTTTAGGTTGTTAGACATAAATAACTTCCGCAATGAGAATTGATTAGTTATATCTTTGTGATTCATGTTCAAGACGGTTTTAATTCATTCCTGATTGCATGCATTCTACACTCTCGGATTCAACCTGCGAATTGTCCTGACTTAGCGCCTTTAGCTTTCTGAACTTTATGAACAAGCATAAAAGGCCCACTTGCTTTTATTACTTTAGTTATTTTGCATTACATTCATTACTTATCGCTTAATCCGAACCTACATTCGATAGTGTAGTTTACATACTCCTTTGGGATTCGATACCCCTTTTACTACAACTCCTTTGCTGTGCACTTGCAGTGGTTTTATTTGGGTAAAACCTGAGCCCTATCACATTCTTAGGCCATTATCTTGTTTTCACAGAGACTAAGAGAGAGATTAGATTCAGAGCTTTTGGAGAGACAAATCCGTACTCTGTTAGAGAAGAATTTCGAATCTCCTTTGTCTTTTACTATATCTTTTAATGTAACTTTATTCAGTCATGATTTGTGTTTCAGTTTCTATGTCTGAGTAATCTGCTAATTAGGTTTTGGGTTGTTCAAAGGTTGATAATAAATTGTTAGAACTGCATAACTGTTAGGATAAATCTTTTGGTTCTTCATCTAGATTGCTTTAACACTGATTTTGAGATTGATCACCTAGAAATCAGATCTTAGGTTGTTTAATAGATGTGGAAACATTATTAATCACTAGAACTATCTTCGATGAGCAAAATAACTGATTGCAAAAGAATTTGGATTAGTGGTTTTGTGAACATATCGAACCTGAACCATAATGCTTGTTTAGGTTGTTGAATTTGCAAAGGAATTTGGAATTCTAGAATCTGATCATAGATAATCTCTACGACGGAAGTCGATTGGTTTTACATTCATCTTTTCGAGTTCTAGAATGGTTTTAACAAATAATAATTTCAGTCTGCAGTCTGTGATTTATGTCAACCTGCGAATTTCCCATTGCCTAGCGCCTTGTCTCATTGATTTTAAGAACTTATAATCCGCACATGCTCTTGTTACTCTTATTTGCTATTTTGTTTTATTAGTTATCGATTGCTTAGCTATATTTGAACCTAAATTCTGTTGTGTAATATTCTTAAGTCCTTGTGGATTCGACCCCTAAGTACTACAGTGATCTCTTAATTTGAGAGGGTAGCTCTAAAGGATAATTTGAGCATATCAAATTTTGGCGTCATTGCCGGGGACTTAGTTATTACTTTCAGATTTTTAGTTTTAGAATTTTGACTAAGCTTTTACTTTCTGTTCGCTAACTTTCTGTTACTTCTCTGCTGTCTGTTTCAGGTGTATGCATAATGGCAATACCCCGAAGCAACAAAGACAAAAAGCTTGTGACATTAGGCATCGACGAACTCACCAAGTTGGAAAGAACCATCAGAAAAGCCAAGAAGAAGACTAAGATGGTTAGATCAATAGTTTTGAGGACAGATGATGATGGTCATTTGGTTGACAGAGAAGAAAACAGAAGGAATGAGGAAGGGCAGAGGATACATGAGAGTGGCACTGTGATTGAGGAACAATTTGTGCCACCAGTTGTACAGAATGTGCAGCAACCAGCTGCTGGAGATGCTGCTGGGCATTTTCAACAGAGGACTCTTGGAGATTACAACAGGCCTGGTCAGTTATATGTAAATAGAGCTGCAATCCACCCTTCTGCCTTCCAGAGAAATGACTTCGAACTCAAGCATGCCTACTACCAGCTTGTGGGTCAACACCCTTTCCATGGGCTTCTACATGAGCATCCTATGGACCACATAGAGAGGTTTAAGGATCTGTCTACTAGTGTTAAAGCCAATGAAGTCAGCAATGACTTCTTATTCTGCAAGCTTTTCCCCTACTCTTTGGGAGGAGATGCAGCTCAGTGGCTGAAACAATTAAAGCCTGGCTCTTTGACCACTTGGGAGGACACCAAGGGCGCCTTTCTCAACAACTTTTATGATGATGCAAGATTGGAAGATTTGAGGATGAAAATTGCTTCTTTTTCCCAAGGTCCTACTGAAGCTTTCAAGTCAGCATGGCTAGGTTCAAGTTATATCAAAGAGACTGCCCACATCATGGTTTCAATGAACTACAACTGTTGGGCATCTTCTTTAGAGGTATTGATTGGAGATAGTATATGGTTTTAGATACTGCAAGGAATGGAAATTTCAAAGCTAGAGTCCTAACTGATGCCATCACATTGATAGAGAATCTGACTGCCAGCACCAGTACAAAGAATGCTGATTTTTAGAAGCAGAAGATGGCTGGGGACAATCAGTTTGCTGCTGAGATGAAGGTTAAACTGGACTCTGTTCGTAACCTTTTGGTGAGTA